CTGAAGCCAAGATTGCAACAATCAGGTGTTCATGCACTTGAACATCTGATGCATTTACACAAATAAAGATGATGCCTCAGTAATTCGAATTTGTGAGTTGTGTTGATTGTCTGTGCACTTCGGTGTCACGACCCGAATAAATGAGACTCAAGTGTACAACTCGTGTTGGCAAACGCTCATCTTGTATAGTTGTCTGGAAAAATGCCGCGTCATAGATAGAATTGAGGAGGCTAGGTTTTGGCAAAAGTGCCTCGCTGCGCCCGTGGCTCGACGCAACTTCGCTTTGCTGCACACGATGCGTTGGAAGTAGTGATGAGGTTGTGCGTCGGAAAGGCATGGCACTGTTGGCAGTAGTAAACTGAGACCTCGAAGTTCCGAAAGTATACTTGATCACTTAACCGTCGGAGCTGTTCACTGGGATCTCACGAACCAGCACACTTGGCGCAATGGATTCTGTGATTTCCTATGTATGACATGTGGCTACTTGCAATTCGCAAACTCACATTACGACAAAACCTGCACTGCAAAGGCTGGCATTACACAGCATAAATGAAACCGTTCGAACGGACGAATGCGTGATTAGTTCTCAGACAACGCCGTAGAATCAATTGGGGTTTATGCTAATGGCTTTATGACAGAGGTGTCTTTATCATGACCTTGTTGACTGTGTCGCATAACTCGTTGGATGTAGGCCCCAGAATGTGCTCTCGAATCACATCGAAGCCGCCGCGTGGGTAGTGCGTAATCGTGACAGTCAGATCTCCGAACATGCTAACGAGACAGGAGATTGTGGAGACTCCAGTCTCCTAGATGGCTCAACCTAGTGGTGTAGTTGCGTGCCTGCATTCGAGGTAGTGCGTGACTAGTGATTATGTGGGCATAAACAGTTTACGTGGACTCGAGAAGGCGCAGACCACTGAATGTGCGGATAAGTGAAACGAGTGGCTGGGAGAGGTGCATGCACGGAGGTGTGTGGCTAGACGGGCACGCTCTGAAAGGGCGAGCGGTGTGTTGGGGCACAAAGCGATCGGTTTGGTGGACATGAACTAGCACGATTCACAACGAGCGCTTTCATCAGCGTGAAATTATCGTGGAGAGGTCAAGACGATCTCTCATTTTGTTCTATTTACTGGACACAAGGTTCCAACGTAGTATTTAATTCAATTGAATTGTAGTGGTCTAATTTGTGTATTTCAATTATGTTTACGATGCTCTCGCATTTGATTTCCAGCTTTGTAAAAACAAATTAGTTTTCCAGATTGACATTGATTTAGCTTGGTCAATGAATTTACCATATCTACTGCCAAGTGAAAGATATGCATGCGTGGGAAACAACACCCAGTCGGCGACGTAAAATCTCCTATTTCTTTTCATGCAGTTTTAATTGTTACCAAATAAATGCGCATGTCTGTGTATGTGTTCGTGGAATTTTTTTAAAAAAATGCATTTTACATATTAGATTAAAAGTTTCATGTTCTGTAATATATTAGTTCTGATGGTAGACGTTTGCGATGCTAGATTTAGCAAGACTAATAAATAAAGGATAGAAAGGCATTTTACTCCAGGGACTAGTATTCCCTAAATTTCTGTTAGCATTTCTGCATTTCTTTAAAATATTTGATTTTGCCGACTAAAAATTTGTAAATATCGCATCTACTGTAATATTCCAATTCAAGAAGGCATGGCTTTCATAGTAGTAAATGTCAAATTTTGCTAAATGGTGCAGCATTGTAAGGTCTCATTAGCTTCAATTACTTTATGCCAAATTAACAACATTGCATTAGCAATTCATCTCTTTGCTAAAATATGTAAAAATTCTTTTAATAATCATTGTTGTAGCGCATTCTAGAAATTTTAACAGATATTTTCACTTATCAACAAGAATAATCAAAATTAATAGCAATGAGGTTGCTGTCATTTTGATGTTTTAAGAGTAGATTGTAAGAATGATAACGGTTTAAATTAATGAGACGCATAGCAAAATTTGTAAGTTGCTTGGTATATTAGATTAAGCAAATTTAGTTTTTTTAAACGGATGTATATTGTGCGTCTCCCTATGTAGTTTTAGATATTTCATCAAGTAACTTATATCAATTTAACACACATTGTCTGTTCGAATAAATATATTTAGTTTATAATGGGTTTTTTGAAGTAAATACAATATACTGTATTAGGTGTATAGTTGCTGTAGCTAGCCTAAGGAAGTGACATCGATGAACGCCAAATCTTTTAATGAACACAACGCATTTTGAGTTATATTTTAAAATAAATTATTAGAAGGTTAATTTGAATGAGGTTACATTCTGACTAAAATTGAAATGTGTGTTAAGAGCAGTTTACCTAGGTTATTATTCAAAAATTTTTTAATTACTGCGACGAGTCCCTTATATTCTTTGATAATCAAATATAACTTTCGTCAGAAGTTTGAGCGCAATTTCTGGTGGGCAAAGCCTAAGCTACGACCTAGTCTTTATGCATAAAATATGTCCTGAAACCTTTGTATACCAACAGCACCACCACCAAGTGTGGTGTGTACAATTGGCTTTAAATTGTGAGTCCACCTTATGTGTCCACCAACTTTAACCAGTAAATGATTTGAAGTGTTTAATATTAGCCATGCTTGATAACTTCTTTACTAAAACACACCACTTTTACTCTTCTGCATATTTGTGATAGTAATTTTTGATTTGCATTGGCATTTAATATTTCATGTAAAAGCAATGCTCTATGTGTTTAGGCAAAATATGTAGCGCTAAATCTTTTTAAGTATTTGCATGGAAATTTTTTGTAGATACATGTTAAAAATGTTTCACAAATGAATTAACGTGTGTGTCATACTTTGAGTAAATTTTCCTGGTATTTTGCTCGATAGCAAAGTTAATTTTGTCCACTCATTTGTCATGATTTAGCGTCATCCTGTAATACCTTAATTTTGTTATCGACTAACCATATTTCACAACAAAGTTTGTGCAAAATATTAAAAACACTTCCAAGCATATAGTTTTTTTTATCAAAGAAATACAATTTTTCAAAATAGAAAATACAAATAAGTCTCTACTGCAGATGAGGCGACAGATTTTGCTAATTTTAGGGTCTGCAATTTTTCCTTACTGAATTACTTGAACTAACGCAATTTTCTAAATGGTATTTAAGCATAACTGTTGCCGAATTTGAACACTAAGGCAATATAAAAAAAGTAATGTTGAGTAGAAGAACATGGTCAAATTTGAAATTAGTGAACAAACATTTATTGTTGATCATTTAAAAGATCATTATTAGTTGTATAAATAAATTTCAAAAATCGCATTAAGGAGATTTTACTGATGATATTAATTTCATTGCTCATCTTAAAAAAGTGAGTTGTTGAACTTGTTCAGGACAAATAATTGCCACGGGAACTAAGTTTACTGGCAAAAATAATCTGGCCAGAAAGGCTAAATTAAGATAAGTCAGCACCATTTGCATTATTGTGAGCAAAATTGGAAGCCATTACTCACCGATTGTAGTAATCACTGTGATTGCGAAGAGTACTCCACCCTCAAAAGTCCAGTTGATGTCATCTAGGTTGGAAGCGCCATTCCAGCCCTCATCCTTTATGGCATGAACCACTTGATTCACATAAGTTGCAACGATGCGTGTGACGTTCGCTTTGACGTTTTCAGCCAGGAATGTGATGTTTGCAATGTGAGGTGGGCTGGTGTTACGACTATGAACAGTGGAGAAATTGTTGGCATGGGAGAGAGAGGATGTACCGTTAAGGGGAAATGCGGATGCGATAGTGGAATTCAGAATATTTCGAAATGTCATGGAAGAGTTTTCGGACACTAAGTCCTCTATCCAGTGTTTCGGAATCACGCCCTTGGATAGTTCCAGTCCATGGAGGTACCACTCGAGGCCTTCTAGGCCTGGTTTAGTTTGCTGCTGAGATGTCAATGTCTGATTGGTTGTTGCGAGATGATGGATTATGTCAAGTTTACTTCGTAGATCAAAAAAACTACTAACCCAGAGGTCCATCAGCTCCTTAAGTGTATTGTTGAAGCGAACCAGCATCTGTGTTTTCACCTGACGCTCTTTTTCTCTTTCAACTGCACAAAATACTAAAGCACCGAGAATCGTATAACCAACCACCATAAGGGATAATCCTATGTGCGATATAATAAAGCCCAGAGCATGTTTAGCATACACTACAGCTTTGCGAAACCGTGCTCTGACAATGCTTTTCCGGTCTAAATTGATCAGATCCTCCGGAACTGTTATAAATTTCGTCGGATCAAGTTTAAAGGCATTATCATCATCATCATCATCATCATCATCATTGGAGCCTTGAGAAGAGATATTTTCCACAAGTGTGTTAGGGCTTGGACAATTTTCTGAGGGCACCGGAGTTACTGTGAATCTTCCGCTTCCCGCAGACTTTTCTGTTCGCAGCTTTTCATCCACTGCAGGGGAGATAGATGAGATCTCCTGTGTCTTTGGCCTAAATTCCCTCAGAGTTGAATAAATCAATGTATCAATTTTGTTAAACTGGGGATCACCCAGACTGGGTTTTGGTGGCGCTGGGATCTGCTCATTGAGTTCTAAAAGCCCAATTCGGCCAGAGTGGTTAAAAGACGGTTTCGGAGGTGGCTGTAAATTTTCATATGTGTTAAGTGGAAGGCTCGTTGGGGCGGTCGTAGTGTTTGGAGTTATCATTTTTCCATTTGTGAAGGGTGACTCCTTTACCATTGTTTCCGTCCTATTAATGCTTGTCTCGCAAATTGGTCGTCCAACACGCGTACGCTCCAGAAAATCACCCATTGAATTTGTAAAAAATAAGAATGTTAGTTAAATCACCGTCGACATATACCTGGGAAAGAGAGAGAGAAAAACATTATCCTCTTTCGCGTTGTTAACCACTGAACACCGAGCGTGCATGCGTGTTGCTTAAACCGCTGGCACTTATGGTGATGATCTGGCAAATTTTCTTGCCCTTCATTGGACAGTGCGACGCACCATCTGGTTGGTTGTTACCTCGGGACGTTGGGTCACTGGATTATTCAAGTGGTTATTTTTAAAACTTGGTTAAAACCTAGTACGGGATGTTTCCTAGCATGAATTCGTGTAATTTTTACACACTCGTGACGGTAAACGCTTTAAACAATGCCTAAGAATAGCGGCTCACCATGACAGTTTGATACCTTAATGCGAGAGACTAAACAACTACAATGTTTATTTAAAAGTTAAAAGGGACAATGCATTTTAATCCTATTACTTAAACATTGCTTAGTTGTATTCAACCAACGAAGAACATGGTCCATGTCACTAGGTCTTGTAGCCAGGAAATTCAGAATATTGCAAACAGGTAGTCCGTTCTATAGCTCAATGTCCAGCATGGAGTGTGCAAACAATATGCGCTTGAGTGCATTCCAGTTGGCTCAGAAAACTTTAACCAGTTTTCCATTACCACCAATGAAAATTATTAACGGTTAAATTGTGACTTGTAAATGGTTCTATCTCTGATGGTATCGTGTACTGGTGGATTTGATAAAGATTTTTTGTTCTAGTAAATTAAATTGCCCTAATTACTGTGGACAAAATAGAGGAGGTATTTTTTGTCCAATTTGGTTTGACATTGACCAATTTTAATCTCGAATTATAACAAGTACTGACGTGTTTTCTCATAATTGTAACTGCCTTGCAAGCGTAAGAAGAACTTCAAGGAAAAGTTAAAAAAATAAGGATTATGCATTTTTTTGGCGAATTTGCCCCAAATATTATGGAATTGATGAAGGCACTTTTAGTAGAGCATTCCAGCATCATCCCTAAGCCCAAAGAAGGTAACCTCAGGAAGCAACTGGTGGCAATTTTTATCGTGCCCTTATGGGTCTGTCAGCCAGTCAAAATGCCTTGTGTCAAGACTGATTACATGTCACACTCCTGCATGGCAAAACCATGGGTCTACGCAAATAGGAATTAACTTTCTTCAGAATTTATTCTTAATATTTCCACCCAAACCAAAAATAGTAGCAATGAAATTTGCCTGAGGACAGTTATGCGAAACCTTGCAGCCAATTACTTCACGGCTTTAAGCTCTGAGTTTGAAACTTAGTCGATTTATAGGCGTAGGAAAGTGGTTGTGGTGACCTCACAAGATTCATCCTCTTCGACCACATAAATCTTAAAGTAACAATCAACCTGCCTAAAGCACGCAGTATCTGGCATAACTCACCCGCTTTTTGAGAATTTCAAGCACTGCTGCCCGTCTGAATAATTGCAGGTTAATACAGACATGGGGTAATTATCGATGTCAGATTGTTTGATTGGTGAACTTATTTACATGGGCGTGGTATCCGTCACATGAAGTTTTGTGGGAAGACAAGTTTGTCACTTTATCGGCCTGAGAATATGGAAAATCATTTCTTTTTTCCTTACCACCTACTTCTTAACATCCTTAAACATAGGACTCAGTTAACATAAAGATAACATAATTGGTAATGAAATAAGTTGTGAATTGGTTTTACAAAGCTTTGTATCCCTCAAATATTTTAAAATTTGTGGTTCTGTGAATACGCTGGTCACTAGTGGAAAGCTTTCTTTGTTTTTTAATGGTTCCGAATCACTTAGCGACAAACTAAGCACATCATTCAAAATACCGTAAATCAGTCTTTTCCACAATCTAAGGACAAAATGGGTTCCTAAAATGGTTTTACTTTTGGTTAAGATTGTTGATATTATTATTTTACATTAGTTTGGTGACTTGGTGGATCGGAATTTATAATTTAGTTTGACGAATATGTAACCGTAATGGTAACAACTAAATGGACTAAGGACAGAAAAGTTAGCTCCACATCGGAACAGGTTACTATTATTTGTGGTTGCTCTAAACTTCAAATAAATTAACTTATTTTCCGTGTTTGCTTTCTGAAGCACACTGAAATCCAGTTGATATCATTCGTTGTGGCTGAGGCAATTAATTTTTTAGTGGCGCTTGCGACAGTCCGCACAAATTGGTTTTTTGAAAAACAAATAGCAGTTTTCTACCTTGCTTCACTCCTCCTGAGTTTGTAAAGTACGTCTGCTTGTCTGTTGAAAACGTTGGATTCGTCTGCGATACTACTAGTCATACCCCTGACCAAGTAGAACGTTGCATGCTGGGATGCCTTAACGAAGGTGAATACTTAAGACAGTGCGACAGGACTGCAAAATAATTTCGTTTTGGCCTCCTACATTAACTAAATTAAAACTATACTGATTGGGGGTGGATTTCGTTAAATGCCTTAGTACTGTTTGAATGCCTGCTTCCAGCACGTTTCCTTGAAATTGCTGCAGGAAGTTGAGATCTTTGAGCAAGTCAAAGTGCGCTAATTTACGAAACCGTTGTAAAGGCATGAAGTACCTTTTACTAAAACTTTGCTGCGCTTAGCAATTCTAGTTAATCAAACGCAATTAGATAGCTCACTGATAATTGCTTATTAATTCTCGTATGGTTCTGATACTAGGCGCTTTCCTGTACTTAGCAGTTTTCCTACCTTAGTCTGCCGCAACAGTTCCACTGTTTGGATTAAGGAAGAAAATGATCATTGGTTTACCCCATCTCTATTTCAATGTGACCCCTAAAACCCTTATTTACTGTTATGCAAATAATAAGTAGCTGTACAGATTCCCACCATTATTTGTCCTGAATCTCCCAGGGCTGCACGAAGAATCCGCAAGGGGTCCTTATCTGCCAAGGACGGTAACAAAATCCCATTTACTTCATCTCGAGAGATCGACAACAACAACAGCGCAAGTTAAGCAAAATTTACGCACCTTTAATGGATTTGGTAGCCTATTTCAACAGATGCCCATTTGTAGTTACCTTTAAAAAAATGCAAACCCTAGTGCATTGTTAGTAAAAAAGATCCCACTAAGTGACTACAATTTATTTCAAATCTTAGAAGTTGGCATCTAATTAATGAGCCATGTTCCGGGAACGAGTAGGGCCTGATTACTTATACCTTACTGGCAATTTACTTCATTCACGACAAGCTTAAACATAAACCTAACTAAAAGGAAATGTGGTTCATCTATGTAAAGAAGCCCATCTTTAATATGCGTGCTAACTCGCCCACTGCCTGTAAGGTTGTTGACAGCAGGTTGGTTCCTTTTAAGGGATTTTTTAAATTTTGATTAGGATTGTATATCCGCGACCGCTAGAACATGGTAGAAACCAAAAGCAGAATTTAGCTTGCACTTAGTGACTGAATCTATAAATACCTAGACGCGATCTCTGTTTTTAGAGGTTTGAGAAGTCACAATAATTGTGCGAGGCACAACTGGGCGTCAGAGTAAATAGAAGAGAGATTTAATGAGCATCCTCAACGCACTTTGTAAATACTCTTTACACTGGCAAGTCCAATTGGTCTGCTGGATCCATATGATAAAGGCAGTTACGCAATCGCCAGCGCGGCAAGATGATGTTGAATTTGCAAGAACTGCAATTGGTCGGTTGGATGAACGTGACTGACGCACCTGCGGGAACCAAGCCTACACGTTGCGCGGACGTACTAAACAGGTCTACGGGTTGTCCTAGCATATTGGTGTCTATACTATGTATACTAAACAGACGCATCGGATGAAAGTTGCGAAGCATGCGAAGGTTATTCACTGACATCCGATATATTCGAAGCAAAATACCTTCATGTCCGCGTTGTTGTATTTACGAATCTTCCTATAAGTAGCGGTCAGCCTAGACATATTTTACTTCAAAACTCCGTTCAGTTGCATTCATTCAGTCTCTTTCCATTTTCCTGGAATTAACTTTCAGTTCGAAAATCGTAGTTCAGTATCTCCCGCCAATGGTTCAAACGATGAACCAGCTCTTATTTTTACTGATGGTTTTCTCTGAACCGCTTTTCTTGAAATCGGATTTTGAATTTGATTTTACCTTAACAAAATTTTCTACAAATGTCCGCTTCCAAAAGGTTTCACGATGAAGCTTCGTTTTAAAACTACGAAAGCAGTGATTATGATTTTCTAGTTCTAACTTACTGCAACTTGTACTATAAAAGGAACTACTCTTATACCTAACAATTGACTAAAAGGTTCCTCCTCCATTATGAATCTTTCATCATGCGCTTACATATTGCGTAATTATAGAACGCCAGGTTTTAACTCGTCTAAATACTGTTCTAATTTCAGTTTCTTTACAATTTAAATGTACACATACTTGAAAAAGCACTAAACATATGTTAGAAATCAGTGGAATGGGTCACTGAAGTTGTCAAACAATTTGGGTTTCTCTGTAACTGAGGTTTACGACGAATCACTTGATTTTATCTGATTAAGTATTTGCTCATAAATGTAAGTCAAATATCTTCTGGAGATCGGACTAATTTTGAATGACGTTCTGCTTTCCCAAAAAGAAACTTAATTCGTCACACAACATGTTTAGAATTAGTAATAGAAATTCAAATTTGTTAACGATGGTTGATATGTTTCATCCAGCCTAATCAACTTGACTGTAAAATCAAGATTTCCTCAGGTTAAATAAGAACAACAATTTAACCGCAGGAATGTCTCTAAAAGGCACAACGCGTTGCCACTTATGCAAGTATTAAAAATATACCGCACGAAATTAGTAAGTGAAGCCATTAAACAAACGGAGCATGATTTAAAAGCACAGGACGGGTAAACTTTGTGGTATATAAATCTATAAATTCGATAATGGATCTGACTTAAAGGGAGTGAAATGCAGCCTTTCGTTGTCTACGGCTTTCTTGATTTTTACAAACTGATGCGACCTTTTTTGGAAGGGCTTCAGTGTCGCAAATCCATGC